TTCATACAGATCTTTTTGATTTGATTTGATGAACCAACATGGAGCAGCACATTAAGTGGAAGGAAAGTGACTCATATTTCTAAAATGCTGTATGAATAGAAAAACAAAAAAGGTTGGTGTGTTTTAATTGTTTGAACATGATAATATTCAGTGCAGCCAGTCCTTTAGAATCCCCTAATCTGTTCATAGCGTTGACCTGTTTGCAGTTCAATCTCAGTTTAAATGCCAGGTAGCATCATCCTAAACGAATGGCAACATGGCACAGTGGAAAATCTAACAGAATGGCTGACTATCCACCTAAAATGACAGGCCTGTTAGGAGAGAATTGATCAGAGATGAAAGCCAAAGGGCCCCATGGTAACTCTGGAGGAGCAGCACAGATGCACAGTCCAGGTGGACTTATGCTAGTGCATTTATAAATCACATTTTTTTTTTCAAAAAGTGGGAAGTACAAAGTTATATTTGAAGGAAAAAATTGTATTTTCACAAATCATGTAGGAGACATGAATATGTGGGAAGTTTAGGCATCTCACATTACTCTGAACATATATTTCCCCCATGATGAAACATAGTGGTGGCAGCTTCATGCTGTGGGGCTTTTCCCTCAGTGAGAAAACAATGCTAGTACCAGATGATGGAAAGATGCATAAATTTAAGACAACAATTGGAGGTAACCTGTAAGAGGCTGGGAAGGAGGTTCACATTCAGCAGAAAAATAAGCATTAGATGGAACTAGAGCTGTGACGGCATGGCCTAGTCAAAGTTCAGATCTAACTACAATTGAGTGTTTGTTTTAAGCATTGAAACTTGGTATTTTAGTCCACCCTGACTGATCTTGAACTATTACTTAGAATCTATCATATAAAAGAGATAACAAACAATAAACACTGAATAAATCAAAATACTTTCACAGGAGAAAATATATGTGGGTGAACATAAAGAAACTTTACTTTAATGTTTATAATGATTTCATAGGATCCTAAATACAGTGAGGGTTTACCTGGTAGAGCTGCACATATGTGTTTTGGAGCCTTTAGAGGAGCTCCCATTACAGCATCTATGGCAACAACCCAACCACACAGACCGAGAGATGCAGACATTCTGTCACCGCGATGCAGCTGAGGGGAAACCTAACGGCAAATTGACACCTGTGCAGAAGAGTAGTTAGGAGGTTGAAATCAGCAGGGGTGCCGCAAAGATCACACACAGACCTCGCTGTTCAAGTTGCTTTAAAACCTTGAATCTTAAATTATATAAAATTCGGCAACTTCAAATATGTGTTTTTTTTCTATATTTGATTTTAAAAATACATATAAAACTGAAAAAGGCATCAAATGAATGAAACTGACCAAATGTACAGAAGTAGAACCAAAAAGCAACGCTACGCCTCTAATTACAAGTTTAAAAAGCGCATCACTCTATACTTCAATTTTCCACTGAAACTTTTTCAAAATGATCCCAGAGGGAAGGAGTAAAGAAGAGAAATAGCCTTTCGTCTTTTATAAAGGTTAATAGAAAAAAGAACAAAATAAATCTGAATAAAAACAAAATCGCTTTCATCTCTGTGGGGAACCTAAATCCTCAGTGCTGCTGCTGCCAAATTTTAAATTAAAAAGGTGGAGCGTTATGATGCTCAAACAGCACAGTAATGTGCTGTGAGCAGACGGATGCTCGCTCATGCCTGAACATTGTTCATGAACCTTTTTGCCTTTTGGATGAACCAAACTAATGAAAAACATCATATCAAACACATAGACCCACAGTAACAATAACTAATGGGAATCCTTTGGTACTATGTGGCTGATCAGACCTTAGGCACCTGTTCAATCAACACCTAAAAGCAAATGTATGAAGGATAGAGTTTGCAGTCAGAGTTTTTTCATATTGCTCATAAAAATTAGAAAAACAAACTTATAATTATCTGCACTCTGTCAGTACTCTAAATTAATAATTAAGTATTGTCTTAAAATTATATCTGAATCATTAAATATTTGTTTTAAGCTAAACTCAGGTGTGATGGTGCCGGATAAAAAACAAAATAAAACATGGTGGTGGTAGCATGATGCTGTGGGACTTTTTTTCTTCAAAGCTGGTCAGAGGTGATAAAAAGGTTGATGGATTTAGAGGCGCAAACCGCTAGGTTTTGCTAATCAGTAAAATACATGGACTTTCACTTTCAAACAGGACAAACAGCTTCAGCTACAACAGAATTGTACAAATCTAAGTCCTTTTATATGACTAAATGGCCTAGTCAAAGCCCAGCTCTAAATCCAAATGGTAATCTTTGGAGAGCCCAAGTTCGTTCGTTTGTACCGTCTGTCCATCTTTTTTCAATTATCTGGGGTCGGGTTATTGGTGTAGCAGCTTCAGTAGGGACATCTTCTTTCAAAAGGGTAATGTAAATGGGGCTATAGTCCCTCCAGTGTGTCCTGGGTCTCCCTCTGGGCCTCCTCGCGGTTGGACATGCCTGGAACACCTCACCAGGGAAGCGTCCAGGAGGCATCCTAACCAGATGCCCGAGCCACCTCAACTGGCTCCTCTTGATGTGGAGGAGCAGCAGCTCTACTCTGAGTCCTCCCCGGATGACTGATCTCCTCACCCTATCTCTTAGGGAGGCCGAGCCCCACTATGGAAATAGCTAATTTCAGCCTTTTGTATCTAGGATCTCGTTCTTTCGGTCATGACCCAAAGCTCATGCCCATAGATGAGGGTAGGATCGTAGATCGACCTGTAAATCAGGAGCTTTGCCTTTTGACTCAGCTTTCTCCTCATCACAACAGATACATACAGATACACGCTTCACAGCAGACGCTGCACCGATCCGCCTATTGATCTCCTGCTCCATCTTCCCCTCATTTGTGAACAAGACCCCAAGATACTTAAACTCCTCCGCTAGGGGCAGTACATCCCCCCCCAACCCGGAGAAGGCACTCTACCCTTCAAGACCATGGTATGGGATTTGGAGGCACCGAGTCCAAGTTGTGTTAGAAAAAAAAAAAAGAATGGTGTAGAATTCAGATGTTCTGACCTTTAGTGAGTGACAAAAACAATGCAAGTCACACTTGCATTAATTATTAAAAAAAATTTTATTCATATGTTAATTGATACCAAACAGAAGATCTAGAAGTGATTTTCCTGTTCTAACTTTATTTTACACATTGTTTCTTACTTCATATCCATATTTCATGGTTCCCACTCAGAAAGGGTCTTTAACATTTCCAGCCAATGAATCTTGTTCAGGTGAATCAACACCAGTTTCAGGAAAGCAGGAAGGAACATATACAGGTTTCTTGAGTGAGAACCCTTTATGACCCTCACGGTGGTATTTTCTCACTACAAAGAACTCACAGTTATCGCTACATCTCAGACTCTGGAGGCTACTTTGGAAACTAAAAGTCTCCTCCAGCTTAATGGGATAATAAAACCATAATGGACCTAAGAAACCACACCAGGAATGAAGTCATGTTGGTACTGCTGCCTCAGAGAGCAGATCACAGAGCCGGAGCATTAAGGAGGCACAAGCAGCTGTGATTAAACCGAGGGATGATGATGATCCTCTGCTTTGACACGGCCTCATTTGGTCTCGTGGTTGCCTGCATACCTTGGCTTCCAGCGGGCAAAATACCCCTAGGGTTCCTAAAATACACAGCAGGCTTATCCAGTCAGTGAGCAGCAACGAGGCCAGGCTGCAAGCCTGAACAAGCTGGTCAGCAGAGCAATACTCAGGTAGCAGTAAGGTGGGGAGGTATGTCAGCTGCAGCTTATTTTGCTAAAAAATTATAAAGTTTATTTAGTAATGGTGTAGGTCTATTAAAAATGGATATAGAAGAAATATAAATTAGCAAATACTTTAATGCGTTTGGACTATCTCTTCGTATTTCCTGCAACCTGTTGTCTTTATTTAGCCGATCCTGAATCTTAAGAGCACTTCTAAAAGAGCATTGGAGTTAATTTGGGAATCAAGGCTGATAAGGCCACTGAGGTCACCAAGGTTGAGTTGAGGTATGCTGAGAATAAAGACGTTGAAGAATCACAATGTCATGACTGACACCTAGTGGCCACACACAGTCACTGCATGTCAGTAAGTCAGGTTCTAATGAGGTAAAACTATTACCGTATTAAGGCTCATTTCAATTATCTACCGTTTATTAGTGTTACTACTAGCTACAAAAATTACATTTCTTATCACAGGAAAATATTTTTTAAAACAGAAATAGTGTATCTATGCAATGTCCCCATTAATCATTAGTGTCTCCTTTTGCTCATTGAATTTGAGTCAAGCAGTCAAAAGGTCATAACCCAGCCTTAGAGGTACACAGTGCCGTATCCTGGCATTTCAGTTTAAGGTTAAGTGGTAGGAAAAGGTATTTCAAAGAATAAAAAAAGGTGCACAAGAAAACTGGATAGCAAGATTCCTGAGAAAAATGTAGAGCAAACCATATTCAGGATTTTCCTTGTTAAGCCACTTCTGAACTCACCATTTAACTTAAGCTGAAAATGAAAATGCTGGACCATTGTTGGAAGAATGAAGGACAGAATCCACATTTTTTAGAGTCCAATGTAAAGCTTCCAAAAGTCCCACATGAATTGGGTGCCATGTATTTGTGTTTTCCCGCTTTATTTGATCAGAATCTACAGCTTTTCCTCCCAAACCTCCATCTTTTTAGAGACGCACATTAGTTACAGGGCGAGTAAAACCAACCTAAACTTCCGAGGCCCCTCCCCTAAACTCCAAAAAGTTATTCGAAGGTTTTACTTTGCACGTAATAAATTACAAAGGTTGTACTTTCTGAACTGCTCCTATACAATTACAACATCAAACCAAAGAAACATCTGGGCACAGATGTGTGTGCATGACATCAAATCTTTAATTTTAAAAACTTCCTTGAACGTTGCTAACCAGACACAATCAGAAAACATGAACAATGCACTGGATTGACGTTGGTTTAAATAATGGAGGTGAAAACATTAAACAGCACAGAAAGTCTTTGATTTTTTTCCCACCATTAGTGTTTTCTAAAACAAGCCATTATGAACTGCAGCAGTTATAGATTTGAACCAAGTCAAAAGCTGGAAGTCTTTAGATTCGTCTGATTACAAATACCCTAGCCTGCATCATCCCCCCCACTATTAATAAGGCAGTAAATGTTTAAATGAGGGATCAGAGATTTCTATAAACAAAAAAGTGTTTTAACTTCATGTAATTTAATGATGCAAGATTAGGGTCCAACCGCTCCGACCTCGAGCGGGCGCCTCGTGGATTAATCCAACACAGCTGAGAGCAGACAGCTGATGGCTGCTCCTGCACCTTCAGACATTTCAGTCAGTTTAACTGGCATTTTCTGTTCCGCTCACAGCTGATCTGAAGCCCAGCAGGTAAAACGGAGGATGGGAGCCAGGCTGTGTCATCATCTGAGTCTGGGGAAGATTCTGATGAAGAGGATCATGCTTATAAAAGTGAAGGAGACCAGGATGAGCATCAGCCACAGCAGCCAGTTCACAGACTTCTTGGAGTGCTGCTCCAGCCGCTCAGACTCCGTCTTCAGCTTTTCAAAGTTAAGGTCAGCTTGACGCATAGATTGGCTCAAGGTCTGGAAAGATAAAAAACATCATTTGCATTAAATCCAAGTTAGAGAGAGTTTCTAGGATGTTTTTGTTAAAAGAGTAAGAACAGGTGAAACATAAAGGTGAATTCTGCTTCCATAGAAGAGACATTTTGTACGTTTTTACTGAAAAATATCTTTACAATATCATTTTTATTTGAACCTTTACCCCTAAAACATTGTTTGATGCGCAGACCAGACGCCTCAGTAGTTCCCTGTGATGTATCTATAAGCCTGTAGACCAGACATCCCCAAAGTCGGTCCTGAAGGGCCGCTGTCCTGCAGGTTTTGTAGGTTTCTCTGCATTAGCACAGCTGATTTTGACGACAGCAGTTCAGCAAAAGCCTGTCAATCACCTATTAATGTCAATCAGCCGTGCTGGAGCAGGGACACCTCTAAAACCAGCAGGACAGCGGCCCTCGAGCAACGACTGCAGACTATTTTCCCTGAATTTACTTCAGAGGTTCCTGCGCTGTTCAGCAGACATGACATCAAGGATGTCCATGTTAAATGGGTTAGATCTAAAAAACAATTGAAGTTTTATATTCAAAATTAATTTTGTGGATAGACACCAACTCCACAGAAGATGAAAAAAGTAAAACAAAAAAATTGCAGTTCTGTGTTTTGGCCACAGGTGGCAGTATCATTAGAAAAAGCCATCATGCCTTTTTAACCCTTTCAGAGTGTATGTAGGTGTATTGGCTGAAGGCATCTCCAGCAAGGTTTAAATGGTTGTGTAATTTTCATTAGATTGTATTTATATTTGGTTTTTCACTTCTGATTTTCAACTCTATTTTAGTTTTTTAGTTTTTTGTAACATCTGTTAGCTAGTTTAGTTTTTATTTTTAAGGTTTAGTTTCAGTGTAGTCCTTTTTTAGCTTCAGTTTTAGTTTAGTCATACATATTGGGGGCAGGACTACTGGTGGTAGGAGAAAAAAAAAAGCAAAACAGAAACCTGAGACTTAAACTCATACTAATGCATTATCATAAAGATATAAAACAAAAACTAGACATTTCCTCTAAATCTTTTTTTTTCCCTCCTTCTAGTTTTTATCTCAATAAAATTTTTTTTTCCCTAAATCTAATTTTCGTTATTTCGTTTGTTTAAGTTAACAATAATATTTCTAGGCTTCTTTTTCTCACCTGTTCTAACAGATGCAGATATTTTGACCCAACTTTCCAACATCAGCTGCACCCAGGGAATCATCTTTTTAACAACTGTGGGATCAGTTAGCTGGACCTTTATCAAATTAGCTCAGTCACAAAAAAAATACAGGCATGTTTTGCAAAAATTTAGATTTAATTTTGCTCTACTGCAAACCCTGAATTAGATAATATTTAGTTCTGATGTATTTAGGCAGCAGAACGCCGTAGCTACCTGATTGTCCTGTTTGATGATGTTTTGAGCTGCCAGAGTGTTGTTCTTCAGATTCCTGGCTAGGTTGAGCATGTCCTCTGCCAGTTTCTCCTGCAGGTTGTGATGGTGTTGCAGGACGGCGTCCAGCTCGGCTGCCGACTGGCGCTCATCCAGAGGAAGGCCTCTGCGTGATTTTTAAAGAGTTGAGATGAGTCAAGAGAATCGTTGGAACATTTGTTTTGTCAAGCAATGATGTTACCTTCTATTTCTTAGGTCTCCATCCGTTGTACCTGAAAACATTGACACCTTCTTAGGACATCCATTATGTAAACATGATAAAAACTTCTTAAAAGGTCTGAAAATTTAAGAGGTCTCTTACCTTTAGCAGACAACCGCTGCAGAGTGAAAACATAACACAATTTTAAACATATTACAGCTCTTTTAAATATATTTGTTTTCATAAAAGTTATATCAGAAAGTCAACTATTTGTCATCTCACCGTGCCGAGCAGCTCGTCTCTCATCTCCCCTGTACATCTGGCCTTCGACTGAATGTGAACTGTTTTAGTGGCTGGCATCCTCTCATTGGCTATCGTAGGCGTACGACCTGGAGCAAGGAACTGATTGGCTAAAGCCTTTTCTGTTGGTGACGGCTAAGAAAGAGCAGCAGAGACAAGAGAAACACAACATTATCAGAATGACATAAAAAAAAAGCTTCTTTAGGTTGGAAACATAGAGTTATCCTTAACTCTGAGTTTTTGGACAAATAACCATATTTTTTGTGATTTAGTGATAAATACAAAAGAAAGCTCATTATAGTGGGGCATTTTAAAATTAAAAAAAGTTAAACAAGGTTCTAATGGATCCTAGTGATGTAAAACATTAGGAAAGAAGAAACTCCTTGCTAAATGTAGTGATTTTTCACATAATTTACATTGTTATGGTGATAACAGCTGGTTTTCGTTATTTAAAAAGTCAAATTGATCCATTTTGTAAAACTAAAATCAGGTGTTACAGAGACAGAGATATGAAGACCAAAAGAATTCAGGGACACCTTAATTCTTATGATCTAAATTCAGACAAAATACAACTATAAAAGATATTTACTTAACGCTAAAGCAACCCAATCCAACCCAAGTGCAGTGCAGTGCAGATAAACTAGTCAAAGTGTGCTTTGTTTCAGGGCTGGAATATTGTTATTCTTCAATATAAGAAAGTCAGAAAAATGCTGCAGTCTGAGTGTAAATGAAAAATAAAAGCAGAAATCCTATTTTCCAACTCTGGCTTCTAGTCACTTGCCCCCTTTTAAAATATATTTCACTTTTAAAATCTTTAAAGGGATCAAGCAGTCCACTGACTTTAATAAGGGAAGTTTTATATGTCAAGTTAAACTGGAAAGCATTACCTCATAATCTCACGATTGGACTGTTTAGAGTAAATGAGTCCAGTTTGAATTATTAGATGTAGAATGAATGAAGTGAAAGGATCTTAAATCTTACCAGCTTCTCTGCTTCCAGAAGTCCTTTTAGAAAATCGACTTTTCTTGTATATTCTGTCAGGACCTCTTGTGTTGGTTTGCTGCAAGAAGACAACTACTGATGGATCAAAATGGTACTGTAACATGAATGTGTTCACAGTGACAGAGCTCTGGCTGCCAAAATAGATAGAAAATATGTCATCAAGTTCTAAGTTTCCAAGTGAATATAAAAAAAAATAAAAAAAAATGGCTGAGATAAAAATCAAGCGTGGTCTAACCTTGGGTTTTTCCTCAGAGCCACCAACATGTCTTCCAGAGCTGCAACATACTACAAAAAAAAACAAAATAATAGAAAATGCAGAAACTTAATTTGAATGTTTACCAATTACAGTTTGTCAAGCTTTATTTTAAAATTTTTTTCAAGCAATGATAAACACGAAAAGCAAAATTAATGGGGTTGTGGTTGAAATACCGGCTGCTAATAGAATAAAAGATACAGTTTGCTTCTTGTTATTGAGTGACCTTAGTTTTTCTTGAGCAGTATACACCACACAGCAGTCTAAGTTACATCTCCTCGACATGCTGTGTACTGCTGGTCAGCTGGCTGAAAGATTGTTGCTTTAAAAAAACAAACAAATAATTGTTGTTTTAAAAAAATACATGCTAAAAATAAAGTACAGTGTTTTGCAGCCTAATATAAACTAATGTTAACTATTAATAAGGTATTATTCAATCACAGTGGATCACTATCAGTCAAACAACAGCATTAAGGCTAATACACTAGCAGTAATCTATGCTCTTATGAGCAGGGGTCGCCATGGCAACTCATTGGAAAGGGCTTACAGATCTGACAGATGCTCGATCTGATGGGGGTTAGGTATTGGCTCAAATATTGACGAATTATCTAGATGGTATTTCTGATCAGGTCATTTCTTTTTATTTATTAATATCATACAAAGATATATATCAATCTATTGTGATCCGGGGTTTATAATTTTGGAAGATGAGAACTTTAAACAGAAAATGATACCTTTAAAGGGTATTAAAATTGACTTTTTTAAACGAAAGTATCAGTAAAACTAACCACCCGTTAATAATTGTCGAATCTAGATGTCATTCGTTTAAAAATACAAGAAGTGCAAAAAAGGATTAAAGCTTATTCCCCAAAAGCTGCTTTCTGGCGACGTGGCTAACAGAGCAGCTACCGATGACGGTGCATTACAGTTCAAACGTAACTGCTTCTTGTAACAACAGGTCACCTTCTCCAATCTCCATTCCGCTTCCCCTCTTTTTTCCGACGCCATGGATTCACAGCGGGACAACAATCTGATAAAATTAATCTCCAGTCTGGATGACGCCATGTTGGAAGTGAACACTGTCGCAGCCGTATGACGAATGGTGACTAGATGATGGCTGTCTGATGACGTCTTCACCAGTCTCTTGTTTTCTTTTTTTCTCGCCCCACTTATAATACGGA